TTTGTATATACACAAAAGTAATGCATGAAGAGAACCTGGGGTTGAAGTGTGGCCCTTTTAAAATATATGGTAAGGAGGCAATATGGTCTAGTGGTTAGGATGTTGGACTGGGAATCAGGACCTGAATTCTTACCCTGGCCTTGCAACAGACCTACTGTGTAACCTTGGGTAGGTGGTTTTTCTCATTTGGGGCAGTGGAGGATCAGAGTTTGCTGTAGGAACAGAAGACCAAGACCTATGGCTGAAATGCATTGAAGAAGGGGGTGGGGGAAGTGTTTTAATTCTTCATGCAAATACAAACATGCATAAGGAGTGTGGAGAGCAGGATGGCATTTGTTAGAGGTTACAAGGGAAAGAGAAAATCCCTGACAGGTAAAAGTCCTACTAAGGATTGCACTTTACCTCTCTTCACCAAGGTATCATAACATTTCTTTATAACTTGCCCACAGTCAGGGCAGAGGAAGAAGGGAAGATGGTATTCACATGTAAGGTGGTATTTTACACTTACTTGGTATGCGGAAATAATTACCTTCCAATAGGATTTGTACAGTGGAACCCAGTGAAATTTAATCTCTTGAATTATAATGTAGTGAAACTTCACTGTAAAATGAGTGAAAGTCTTTTGAAATGCACTGAAGCAATTTGCAATTTTCACACTATGGGCCTTGACAGGCTTAAAATGCAAAACTCCCATTGAACTCCAGATGGCAAGATATAGCAGGCTCCACTGTATCAAGACAGTTTTAGCCTATGCACGAGAAGACAGAATTAAGGTTGAGCATTCAGACTTAACTTTTAGAATTTCCTGCACGATTGCTTGATTTCTCAACCTTAACATTGCAGTAATACCTGATTTCCCCCCACCCCATTTATTATAACAATTGGTTAAATTTTGAGTCTGACGTAGGTCTGTACCATTTCAGTTAGTGCTCCTATTTGCTGAACAATGTATTTAAAAATAAAGAAAATGTACGAATAATATTTGTATATATGTACTGCATAATTTATGCATTAAAATATGCTAGGTACATAATTTATATTACTGACTAGCATTCTAATACGTGAGCACGTGCCTTTAATATATAAAAACTAATGGAAATGTAAAAAATAGAAAAGCTGCTACCTCCTTCTATATGAATTTAACAAAGGACACGTTTAAAAAAAAATCCTATTCCATTTTAGTTATCACAGTCTAGTTTCACAGTACAATGTAAGCTTTTCAGCCTGTGAAATCCATTAATAACCACATTAAACCCTCTCATATTGTATGAGTTGTCAGATATAAATGATTCTTTTAAAAACAATTATCTATCTCTTGCTTCGTGCAGTTAGTTAAAATGCAATGCCAATTTACAACGGCTGGTAAACATTTTTGTTTTTTAATCATTGGTTTACCTAGCTGAGAGTTTTCAAGGCAGTGTGAAGAAAATGAACATTTGTTCAAGCCATAAATGAAAATTTCAGTTCATAAGTTTGTTGTGCCAAAGTTTAACTTGAAAAGAATATGCACTTCCTATTTCTGGGGAGAGTGTGCTAGATGTCACCCACAATTATGGTAATGTGTTTATTAACAGTATACATTTATAAAGGGCTAGATGGTGCCTGTAGGGCGCAGCCTTGCATTGGGAGTTACATAGCGCTGTACTGCCCCTGGGAAATACTGAAAGGTGCTCTCCCTTAGAGAGGCAGAGTGATTCCCAGGGCTCTCTCTAGTGTGATACACTGAGATTTTTCATTGGCAGCACAAACTGTTGACCCCTTTTAAATGTACGAGACTGCAGTGCTATTACCAAGATACACTACTGGGATCTACAATGCCCCAAAAGTGCCAGAGATTAAATGGAGCCATAACTCCCTTCCCCATATGCACTAGCTAGCAAGGGCAGGATTCTACATGGAAAATGCTTAGAGGCTGCAGTTCTGTCCTGTCCTTACACAGTCCATAGAAGGCAGAGAGGGTCCTTCTTCCTGCTGTTACACTCTGTGGTCATAAGGGCCAGGCAGAATCTGGTCCAATGAATCTGGAATCTGTCATTGTATATGATTTAAACTGTTGTTTAAAAATGCAAAGCATGAACAAACTTTGTGATGTTTTTCATTGTAAAGAAATAACTGCCTAAGTTATATTTTCAGTTATAACAGCTAGTGGCTTTGTCATAGACCCCAGAATCAGAGCTATGCCCCAGCTTTTAAACAGGAACCCCATCAGTCTGCCAGACCCACAAGGGACTCCAGTCTTCCTTCAAGATAGGCACACCGCCTCCTGACCTCAGAGACAGAGGCTCTGGGCTCAAGCACTCTTGCTTCACACTGAGCTCTGCCCAGTGAGTCCAAGTGAGATAGGCTCCTCCTCATAGGCTTGTACACTCTTCAGGGACTAATGCACCTTAGCATATTTGCAGTGACACCAGGCAGTGTTTTCAAAACAATAGGGTTTATTAGTCAAATGGAACACAGCATTGGAAAGTCCTTAGATTAGCATACGGAAATGAAGGTTAAGACCTGTCTGGCCAAGCCAGAGCCATCCACCAACTGAGCTGTAATGGACTCCAATATCGTTTCTGAGTAGCAGCCGTATTAGTCTGTATCCGCAAAAAGAACAGGAGTACTTGTGGCATCTTAGAGACTAACACATTTATTTGAGCATAAGCTTTCGTGGGTTACAGCCCACTTCATCAGATGCATAGAATGGAACATATAGTAAGGAGTTATATATACATACAGAGAACATATATATCTTCTTACCATATGTTCCATTCTATGCATTCTATGAAACATGTTCTCTGTATGTATATATAACTTCTTACTATATGTTCCATTCTATGCATCTGATGAAGTGGGCTGTAGCCCACAAAAGCTTATGCTCAAATAAATTTGTTAGTCTCTAAGGTGCCACAAGTACTCCTGTTCTAATATCGTTTCTGTCTCTCTCGACTTGTAATGGGCTCCATTACCACTTCAGTCTCTCTCTGACCCTTTTGTCAGTCCCAGGTGAAAGCAGCGAGCCTCTTCCAGAAGTCCACTCCTTTCCCATTGCCATTTGTGAGGGGGGGTGGGGAGGGATAACCTCCTTCCTCTTGGTCATTGATTGCTAGGTGTGAATGATCTAGTCATTGGTGTTTCCCATTGTCTCTTTTGGATTCTGCATTGATATGGGTCTCTTTCAGCAAGTTCCAGACAGTTCCTTAACAACCATTTGTTGCTCCCCAGACAGCAAGGCAACATACACCCTCATGTCTCCTGTGCTGCCCCAACAGCAGACTTAATGTCCCCGTCCCCCCCCCCCCACGGGGTAGCAATACAAAGTACGGAGAGAAACCGAAGTAGACATAGGATTAATACAAATATTAGAGAAAATTCTCACCTGACCTCTGAAAATCAGGCCCATTTAAGTTGTCCCAAATTAGAGACCCCGAATTGGGGCACCCAAAATCACTGAACATCTTTGAAAATCTGGCTCTGAAGGCTACATTTTCAGAGTTCTTTAGGTACCTAAAGAAGCAGATAAGAACCATATAGGATTTTCAAAAGCACCTAACTCCCAATAAAATCAATAGAAGTCAAGTGCTTAGGAGCTTTTGAAAACATCTAGATGCCTGTCTACTTCTTTAGACATCTAAATACCTTTGAAATGTGGGCCTATGTGACTTGCCCAAGAGACTATTGCATTATCACAAAAACATTTTTCTTTAACAATAAGGCTAATCTGGACCCTATTTTGATGGAGGCACCCAGTAAGGGACTCCACATCTTTTTTGGGGGTTTTCTCCATCCCTGAACTTTGTTTCCCATAAATCTCAATCCTAAAGTAACTTTGGGATTCTGTGCAGGCTTTTCATCAATGCAGGCTGTATTTAATTATGCACACTATATTACTACTTTGGGTTCCCCTACTTTCTATTTACTTGTGCAAGCAGAGTAATTCCAAGTGTTTTAGTTTCTATTGTTGTATGATTTTGGTGGAAGTATAAAGCATCACGTTGAAGGTCAAGTGATTTGATCCCCTGAGAAATGAAATAAAGAAATATTCCATGCATGGTATCTTATTACTAGGAATCCTAGTTTTCCATGATCAAAAAAACAAAATTCTCCACTAAAATCCATAAAAATCCATGTTTTTCTGCTATTAAAATGAAATCTGATCACGAGAGCCCCTCTGCCCAGGGCTGAAGCATCCCCATATTCCTGTGTGTGCACCAGTGGCATGGGGTTCGACTGTATGTTTTGTTTTTACATTTTGTGAAAAAATAAAAAAAGATTTTCTGTAAAATTGCAAATTCTGCATTTCTTCCATGGCAAATGGATTTCTAGGATCACTACTTATTACTCTTATAAGTTTGATATTATGAAGGGAAAAATAAGTGGTGATACTTGAGCATGTTTGACATATTGCTAATTTCTCCAATAATGTCTCCTTTTATGGTTATGTGCTTTGGTCCTTTTAAGGTGCTAATGGAGCTATGACGGTTTATACCATCTGAGAATCTCACCCCAGAATAGTAGCTTTGTAAAGACCAAAAAGAACCTCTAAAGAAACTAAAACTGAGAACACAGTGCTGCTGTAACATGAAAGGATACATGGGATAGGGAGTCATGGGAGATTATTATAAAACATTTTGCAATTGTGTTTGCCATATTGATATAGTCTTTGATAACTAAATCCTGCTCTGAGCTGTACTAGTGCACAAAGAGTGAAGGGAGCTAGGGGAGTAACTTTTCAGCCAGGCAGGATTGACTGGCAAATTGGGGATGGGAGGAGGAGTCTATTTGCTGTGCAAGCGAAGATTTTCCATAAGAAATCCCTTTCCCTGGACCCAAATGAATATTTGTATGCATTTATATAATGGTAGTCTATTTTAATGGATTGAAATAAAAAAAATTGTAATAATACTAGCAGAAAATTACATTGTGATCAGTATTTTAAAGCCATTTGTAGTAAAGTTTGAATACTGGGATTGTCATTGTACAGTATTTATCTTCTTAAATGTATTTCTTTTCAGGTATTCAAAGCTATGAATATTCCTCAGATTAGAAGCCCTTCCTTACCTCCCCCAGCAGAGATACCTGAAGCCTACCATGCAAAGATAGCTCTCTTTGGTGCTGGGCCTGCAAGTATAAGTTGTGCTTCTTTTTTGGCTCGATTAGGTTACTCAAACATCACCATATTTGAAAAACAGGAATACATTGGCGGCTTAAGGTAAAAACTGGGAAAATGGGTGTTTCCTGTGGTTGTGGGACGCATATGAAATACAGTTTGTTCAATTCTGGTCAAACCAGAAACTTAGGGGAGATAATGACAAATTTTAAAGATTCACTTAAAAAAACAACAACCAACATTCCTCATCCATGTTAAATATTGTCCTTAGTTGCACATATGTTTGAAAATTCCCATTCAAATTCAGTGACTGTAAAGAACCAAATTATGTTAAAAAGTAGACTAATATATAACTGCTATGAAGGGAAACATAGTTTTCACATCTGCAGCTTTTTCATTTAGCCATGGAGATATGAAAAGAATTGGAACTGAGATCTGCCTTCTCAAAAGGGCATACACACTTTTTCCAGTTCAGGTTGGACAATCACATCAGTATCTGTGTATGCAAATCCTTGCGCTGTACATTTATATGAGGCTTTGCTCAGGTTCTAGAGAACCTTTCCCCAAAAGTGTCTATACATTTTTTTTTAATTTTGGTTCTAAATGACCGAACATTAACTATTTTAATGGCTCATTTATTGCATTAATAAACAACAATGTACAGTGTTTCAGACTTTTAATAAATTGGAATGTCACATGCTAAATGGGCTGATTCTTCACTCCATTACACCAGTTGAAAGAGCAAAGAATCAGGCCCACTATGTCTACATATTTTAAAAAGACTAATGTCACATCTCTTTTCATTTAAGTGGTAATCCAGGACACAAATTATCTTTTGTTTACTTCTGACAGCCATGAGTAGCCCCTTCTGTGTGGTGATTCTGAGAAATACGGAACGGGTGTTCTCTACCCACTTTTAGTTTGCTCTATAAAATACAAAGCTGCAGTACTCACAGGTATTACCAGATGAATCCTTTAGAAAATTTAGTAATGAATACCTTCCCCTAAATCCAAAAGTTATATTTAAAGGATCATGAATTGCTGTGATTCTAGCTCTACCATGTGCAATAATGAATAGATTTGTTTAACATAATTTAAAAGCATTTTTAATGTGGTGGAAATGTCTAAATTTAGAATGGTTTTATGAAGTTCCCTATGCAAGTATACATGGAAATAAACATAAAGCAATCATCACATACAGTTGGAGTGAAACCTGTGTTTACAACTTCGATAAATCATTCTGTAAGGGTGAAATTCATACCTGATTTCCACAGCCATTTACAAAGCCTGAGTAAATGGGATTTTTGCAGGTAACTATACAATAAAAGAATAGAATCCATTTCTTCAGTCAGGGTGCAGGGCAGCACTGCAATCTTTCTGAACACTAGAACATCACTTACACCATCACCACACAGAAAGTATGGTAACAGGTCCTCTGCATTGAGGGATGAATTTCTCCCACTATGGCTGTAATTGTGATTATGTCTTCCAAGACTGGTGGCACCTCTAAATGTGTGTTAATATATTTTAGAATTTGAATACTGGGTAAATGTAATGTCAACACACAAATAAAATATCACACATTTAAAAAAATCACAGTGAAGTGTAAAAAAGGAGGACCAAGTCTGTCCCTGGTGCAACACCACTGAAGTTAATGGAGTTGACACCAAAAATGAATTTGATCCTCAATGTCAAATACTTAATCCCTGGAGGTTACAGAGAGTTAAGCAATGCTAGAAAAGTAGAGCTGATGACTTCCATTTAGGTTCAAAACTGTTCTGCCTAATTACCAAAAGTGTTAATTTAGCTGATTGTGTTATAGACACTTCACCACACAGACCCATTTTACTAACATTGACTGCCATAGGGGATTGCAGATTTTGTGCAAGACGTATCTATCCACTTAATGAAGAAGCATGTATTGGTTTTTAAAAATATTTTATTGAAAGTCAATTTAGTCACTTTTAAAAAAATGCTGTTTCTTACACTATCATTTTATCCTGTTGACAATTCACATCTACTTTGTGCTCAATGCTGTAACTTTGTTATTAATTTAAAGAAACACTTTCTTCAGTTACATGAAATGTATATCAATGCATATGTAATCTGAGCAGTATGAACTTTACTATGTGCACGTTCATTAAATTTCTAACTGAATTAAATTTAAATTTCATTCAGTCACCTTGCCCCCTTCCAAAAGGCCTTACTTCAGGAGTCACCCATTCCCACGCGGTCTGTGATCTTCTTTCCTACTTTCCATTCTGGAAGATCACAAGGTTAGCAGCAGCCCTAAATAATGACAATGCTTTACTCTCATTCTTTGTGCAAAACAGCCATTGACATTTAATGGGAGTTCCACATCTGGAATAAAGACAGAACATGGCCTTAACTACTTTTGCTCTCACTTTGACATTGGTTTAGAAGGGAAGTTAATCTGAGAGCTGTCATCCGTAACTGCGGCCACAGTAACTTGCTCAAATTAGGCCTGAATAAAGACTAGGAGTTGATGGGTCAAAAAGTAATTTTCCCTCTGCTGATACTCACACCTTCTTGTCAACTGTTGGGAATGGGCGATGTCCACCTTGATTGCATTGGCCTCATTAGCACTACAAAGGTAATTTTCCCTCTGTTAATATTCACCCCCTCTTGTCAACTGTTGAGAATAGGCCACTTCCATCTTAATTGAATTGGCCTCATTAGTACTAACCCCCCACTTGGTAAGGCAACTCCCATCTTTTCATGTGCTGTAACATATATATATATATACACTGCTTACTGTATTTTTCACTCCATGCATCTGATGAAGTGATTTTTATCCCACGAAAGCTTATGCCCAAATACATTTGTTAGTCTCTAAGGTGTCACAAGGACTCCTCATTGTTTTTGCTAGTACCTTGCTAATATTTTTTTAAGAAGTTCAGCTGCCCCTGATTCTTTTTTAAGTGACTTTGTAAATAATTCAAAATGGCTAAAAAGGCCAAATTAGATTTGTATTTGGAATCAATTGCCTTATAGATGCAGTGTTGGTGCTTTTTTAGGCTCTTTTTTTCTGAGCATGTTGTTCTTCCCATGTATATGAGGATTATACCTAGTTTGAAGAATATTTACCTTGGAGAAAGACAGCAGATTATTCCAATTTCTATAACATCAAAGTGCAACAATATTGATCTCTCTCTCTCTTTCTCACACACGCTCTCACACACACGCATGCTCCTTTTTAAAGGAATTAAAAAATTAAGGAAAATATTCTTGGGAATAGGGACAGCTACTGAATACTACCAGTGATAGACTGGGCCCATCTCATATTTGAGAAAATGAAAGGCCTTCAACAAATATATTTATGGGTTGAGAAATAATGGATTTCTTTATTGAATCTCTATTTCATTATCCTTTGTCTTGGCTCACTCTTTTCTTATTGTGACATGAAAGTTGCATTGTCATGACACATACATTATGTTTGAAATATAGAATGCTTTTAGTTACATGCTGAGCAGAAGAGCACCAAGATGGTCAGTATTTGAAACTACGTATAAAAGAAAGTAGTAAAGTCAACTTTTTTGCTATGTATTTATGGTTGACAAGCCTTAAAATAAATGAAACCTGCCAATGTGTCAGAGTTAGATGTAAAGGGGTTGGAGTGGTCAATAATAACATGTAAAATGGAGCTAGTACAAATCTCTCTGTCACAGGGCTTTGTTACAGAAATTATAACTATATTAATTTTGGCAAGAGATTAGGTTTCCAGAAGATTTTGGAGTGTCTTTCACCTTCTGGATGTTGTATCATTTTATCTTTATTGAATGAGGACATTTAAAACGGCCTTCACTAGACTTAATGGGCCAGACTGTTCTGATTATAAATTGGGATAGTCCCATCGAAGTCAGCGCTGATTTATACTAGCTGAGGATCTGGCCCTATATATTAATACCCCTGGAGCAGTAAATCTGGTATTGGGACATTGAAGAAGACTTCAATACCCTCATTGCCCCTCACCTCCAAGAAAAAAAAGAACAAAGTAAGAACATACATTAATTTAAACAGTAATCGTGAGTCTGGAATAAGACCATATTTCAAATTACTGACTTCGTATATTGTAGTAAAATGTAAGGGAACTTGTAGAATATAACTGGAGGGTGAAATGTGCCCAGCATTGACTAGAAAATAATTTAGACATCCAACTTAAAAAAAAAATGGAAGTTTGACTATTAATTATAGGGTAACTTCATCATTTGTGGCTAGAATCTCTCTCTGTTAGGTGGGCACATTCAGTATAGAACATGTTTATAAATATAGAGAAGGATTAGACATTGATGGTTACAACCTGTTGTGACAGTGATGTTTTTAACCTTTATAAAAAGCAAAAGTAGTTCTTTTTAGATATTGTTACTGTAGAAGGTGTAGGAATGTAGTTGTGATTCTCTGAGAAACTGATCAACCTCTTAGTTTCTTTATCAAACTGGTTGTAGATCCTGGTTAACAGAGATATGCAATAAACTGCACTGGACAAAGTTAAACAGTATTTAGAATCCTTGTAACAAGTAAAAGGGCTTATGTAAAAAAGGATACAAAATAAAATAATTTTTTGTTTCCTATTTTGAGGTGGATGATTTTGGTTTGTCAATACTAAATCTCTTTAACTAAATGAGTCATGTTCCTTCACAGTTTTGTTAAATACTTGAAAGTCATCTTTTTACAGACACAAAATTCACAAGATTTGCACTGTATGTGTTTAATGTTTAGTAACTGAAAAGTGCTGGCTCTTTAATAGCTGTCAATTGTTTCACAGTCTCTTTTGTTTTTTCTAGTACGTCTGAAATCCCTCAATTCCGGTTGCCATATGATGTAGTGAATTTTGAAGCTGAGCTTATGAAGGACCTTGGAGTGAAGGTAATGAAAACTATAATCTGCCTATGTATAGCTCAAAGAAAAAGGAGCAAGAGCTCTGTCAAAGATTAACAGCAAAATGTCATGCACATTAGTGAAGAACAATTAAAACTAATACTAGGCAGAGGCAGGAAGATGCTTCCTCTTGCTCAGGGCATTTGTCTGTCTGCTGTCTGAATGCCACTAGTTTGGAAAAGGGCAATCAATAGTTCTCATCTGGCATGCCTGCATGTGATTAATTGTCTGTAAGAAACAAATTCCTAAATTGCTTTAGGGGTTCAATGTAGCTATTGGAATGATTTGATTTCTTTAATCAAGTTGTTTTCATGCATGTTTGGTACTACTTAATACATTCGTATTTGACACTTCTCCCTCCACCCCAGTTTTCTTTTAATAGCTTGTAATGCAATCCCACATTGATGTTTATTTTACTTATTACATGCATTAAATTAACAAAGTAGTGACATGATCTGTTATAAAAAATAACAGTAATTCAACTTCTTGGAAAGCAATAGTTTTGCATTGGCCGTATTTTATTAAACAAACACTTCTTGATTATTTTTAGATAATGGGAATGTTGTTTTATTGTTCATTCAGTGCTTGCTGTAGAGATGTATTTAGTGTGTATAACTCCCGCTCATTTTAATAGAAGTTATGTGTGTGGAACATATCTCAGGATCAAACCCTTACACAGAAGACTAGATAATAACTTTTTAACTGATTAAGGTCATATAAGAATCATATAAGTAATCCTTACTCACAGTCTTTTATCTTGGTCCAGTGGATAGAGAAGCAGACTGGGAATCATGAGACCTAGGGTGAGATCCTCACCCCCCTTCAACACTCTATGCTCAGTAAAAGGCCTGGAGCAGTATAAAGGTTAATCTACACTGTGGCTGAGAGCATGCCTCCCAGCTTGTGTAGACAGACCCATGCTAGCTCCATTTAGAGTAGCACAGTAAAAATAGCTGGGGGTCAGATGGATTGTACTCAGGTGGCTAGTCCATGCTGTTATCTTTGCAGCAATGTTCATGCTGCTATTTTTAGTGTGTTAGGTCAAGGAGAGCTAGCACGTCTGTCTATCTGGGTTATGAGGCATGCCTCCAGCTGCAGTGTAGACATAGCATAAAAGCCCCAGATCTTGTCAAGCGAAGATTACTCTGGTTCAGGACTGTGGAAGATAGCCATAAGGCTGCCTTCTGAGCATTCCCTCACAAGCTGTGACGTAGAGGGCATGCTACAGGCAAATCTGAAGGCATCAGGCATGTGCGGGAGGAGTCACAGAATGTAGCATTACAGAGATTTTAGACAGTTCTGTGGCTCATAAGCAGCTGACGACAGGCTGCAAAATTTAGACCAGCCCCCAAGGCTGTCTGCTACTCCAGAAGTTTTGGAGCAGTACACAATTGAGAGCTTAAAATTAACATGGCCACTCCCTTCTCCTGAGGTGTGAGTTCTGTGCTGTGCCACTTAGATTTGCAGCACAGAATTTTACCCTAGAGTCTATTCTCAACTAGGCCATTGATTAGCTATGTGACATTTGGCAAACCACTTAACTAAGTACCTCAGCTTTGTGCCTCTGTAAAATGGGAGTATCTTACCTACCTTTGTGTAAGCTATTTTGAGATCTTTGATGAGAAGTGCTATAATGTATAAATGCTAAGTATTATTGATTTATGTTAGTAATTCTCTTGAGTTCAATAGGAATTACTCAGATAGATAAAGGTTACAGGACTGGGCCTTAAGGGATTGTAAATCCTCACATAAAATTAGTAGTGACGTTTAAATTGAATTATTAAGTTTTCATAATATATGTACATATTAGAATAAAAATGTATAATAATTCATAGGTGGTATTTTGTACCCATTGAATGTGCAGTCTATAGTCAAAAGGATCACAACTACACACAGCTTTAGCATTTGATAATATAATCTATAAAAGGAGAAAATAAGAAAGGGCCAGTCCTTAAATAAAATATATTACATTTTCCATCCTCCATTTTTTCAGGGATGGGGAAAACACATCTTCATACATTTCTAAAAGGGAATACAGATAAATTCAATAAGAGTGAGAGAGGCCCCATTATAAGAAGCATTTATACAGTGGAGCATCACAAGTATAGGAGTAACAATGAAAATGAACAAACAAAAACCAGAAACAATCATGCATGTATTTACAATTGTTCCTTTCCTTTTTAAGCTAAATTCACCTTGGAGGGCCAAGTTGACTGTTTTAACCTGAAAGGCCACATGGAAATATTTAAATCTTAAATGAAGACAATATAATAGACAGACACTAGAGACTCTAGCCATTAGATTCAATGTAAGTTTTGTTGCACTGATGAAGGCCATGAAAAGTGGGCAAAAACATGAGAATAGGGAAATACAGTTTGACACACAACAAACTAAAATTATGGATTGTCCTGAATGAAGGACTGTGAAAATTTGAGCGAGCTAGAATAAAAAATACTAACTACCAAAAGGAAGTAAGGTCTAGGGCAGCCGCTCATTTGAGCCTGCTGCTCTCCTCTTAGATCTGATTGTCCTTTGCGTGTTCATGCTCTGTGCAGATCCTCTGGCTGCTGCCCTGATATGCCCATTTTTGACCTGTGTTGAATGCATTTCCTTGTGAGCTCTGACACACAGTTATCTTCCGCAGCATACATGGAGATGCAGTCCCCCTCAGAGGTTCTCTACTGAAGTGCTCACTAGCACAGCACAATGAAGGCTGCGTGAGCCCTATTATGCCATTTAAGATGGAGACCTAAACACTCTAGCATTTTTTTAATAACAAAAGGGCCAAATTTTGCCCTTATTTCTGCTGGTATAAATCCAAAGTAATTCTGCTGATTTCAATGGATTTATACCAGTATAACTGACAAATCAATCCCTCAGTCCGCTGTCTTCTCCAGAAACAAGCTTAGGATTCTCTTGAGCTCATTTATTCTCTTTGCTTCAAAACCCTTTTGTTTTGTTTTAAGATAAGTTTTAGATCATGCTCCTCAGACAGCATGGTCGATTGTACAGAGCACAGGAACAGGAATAAGGAGGCTTGGTTGCTAATCATGGTTTTGCTAAAGACGTGGTGTGTGACCTTGAACAAATTATTTCCCCATTTTGAGCCTCAGTTTCCTCAGCTGGAAAATGGGAAACATGATTCTTATCCTTTGTAAAGTTCTTTGAGATCTAACAATGAGCAGTGCTTTGTAAGTGCTTGTTGTTTTTATTTATTACTCTTTGTGAACTTACCAGTGAAATAAATTCATCTGCATTTATTCCTATTTTTTACATATTTTGATTAATTCCAGCCAATGAAATGAATGGCTCTGAGCACCATTGATCATGTAGAAGAAATACGATTAAATAAATGCAATTACAAACCCAAATTATTAATTCCATTCTTAACTGGTTAAAAGATACGAAACAAAGGGTAGGAATGGAGAGAAGTAAATAGTGGTGACCCCAGAGGTCTGTACTGGGACTAGTCCTATTCAAAATTTGCAGAAAATACAAAACTATTCAAGATAGTTAAGTCCAAAGCAGACTGCAAAGAGCTACAAAGGGATCTCACAAAATTGGGTGACTGGGGAACAAAGTGGCAGATGAAGTTCAGTGTTGATAAATGCAAAGTAATGCACATTGGAAAACATAATCCCAACTATACATATAAAATGATGGGGTCTAAATTAGCCATTACCACTCGAGAGAGATCTTGGAGTCATTGTGGTTAGTTCTCTGAAAACATCCACTCAATGTGCAGCGGCAGTCAAAAAAACGAACAGAATGTTGGGAATCATTAAGAAAGGGATAGATAATAAAACAGAAAATATCATATTGCCTCTATATAAATCCATGGTATGCCCACATCTTGAATACTGCGTGCAGATATGGTCACCCCATCTCAAAAAAGATATACTGGACTTGGAAAAGGTTCGGAAAAGGGCAACAAAAATGATTAGGAGTATGGAACAGCTTCCGTATGAGAAGATATTAATAAGACTGGGACTTTCCAACTTGGAAAAGAGATGACTAAGGGGGGATATCATAGAGGTCTATAAAATCATAACTGGTGTGGAGAAAATAAATAAGGAAGTGTTATTTACTCCTTCTCATAATACAAGAACTAGGGGTCACCAAATGAAATTAACAGGCAGCAGGTTTAAAACAAACAAAAGGAAGTATTTTTTCACACAACACACAGTCAACCTGTGGAACTCTTTGCCAGAGGATGTTGTGAAGGCCAAGGCCTGGTCAACACTAGGGGGGGAGATCAATCTAAGATAAGCAAATTCAGCTACGAGAATAGTGTAGCTGAAGTCGACGTATCTTAGATCGACTTAGAATTTCTTACTTCATGTCCTCGCGGCGCAGGATCGACGGCCACGGCTCTCCCGTTGACTTTGCTTCTGCCTCTTGCCGAGCTGAAGTTCAGCAGTCGATGGGAGAGCGATCGGGGATCGATTTATCGCATCTACACTACACGCAATAAATTGATCCCCGATAGATCGATCGCTACCCGCCGATCCGGTGGAAAATGTAGACATACCCCAAGACTATAACAGCATTCAAAAAAAGAGCTAGATAAATTCATGGAGGATAGGTCCATCAATGGCTATGAGCCAGGATGAGCAGGAATGGTGACCCCAGCCTCTGTTTGCCAGAAGCTGGGAATAGGCAACAGGGGATGGATCACATGATGATTGACTGTTCTGTTCATTCCCTCTGAAGCACTTGACATTGGCCACTGTTGGAAGACAGGATACTGGGCTAGCTGGACCTTTCGTCTGACTCAGTATGGCCGTTTTTATGTTAAATAATTTTGAAAATCTGTATTAGGTTCCCTTGAATTGTTATCTTTTTCCTTGAGAGTAAGTACCAGTCCCCTTAATCTTTCCACAGAATAAAGATTTGTCAAACCTAATGTTGTTTTAAGCCCCGAGCCTGTGGTTGAATCTGTATAGGTGGGCCCTTATGCCCACAAAGAGCACCACTGATTTGAGGTGGGGCTCCTTGGTGTAAGAGGTCCAGTTGCAGAATCTTAAATTAGTTTAATTTTTGCTGCATCCTCAGTGAGGCTATATTACCCTTCATTTGGTGCAATGACTAGTATTGCACGTAGGATCACCTTATTTGTTTGATGCTCTGACATGCTGTTAATCCTATCTAGTATCTTGTTTGCCTCTTTTTTCTTCACTTCTATGCAATAGACTGGTGGCATCAATGATTTTTTTCACAGTAACCCCCAAGACTTTTTCCTGATTAATGTGCTAGATGATTGTTCCATTTACCACACATTCCCTAGACTGGTGCCTTGCTCCCAAATTAGGTTTCTTAAATCCTGAGTTTCATGTGGGGATATTTCATTACCAAACCAGTATCAAATACAACCATTTAAAACTGCTGTTTTGCTGTGCTGTTGTGTTCCATGCACAGGTTTTTTCTATTTTTTTCTGTTTGCTTGTTGCTGGCTGCTGTTATGCCAGGAACAAAATAGACCCTCGGCTGTCCCCCACCATCAGGGGAATACAAAGGTGGCTTTAAGCCATTTTATGCCCCCTCCTGACTTTGATCAGACCTGAAGATCTGGCCCTGTAAGTCTAGCTCGAAAAAATATTTTATTTATTTGATTAATTGACCATTATGAAACTTTTTGAGATGCCAGTAAGAGGAACATGACAGAAATTAACCCAATTTTTAATTATCAATTTCAAATTACTTAATACATCTTTATAATGTTTTATTTTAGATCGTTTGTAGTAAAGGCCTTGGAATAGAAGGAATGACCATCAACACCTTGAAGGAAGATGGCTACAAAGCAGTCTTCATTGGAATAGGTAGGAATGTCTTATTCTCCTTTATTTCATTTTATTTTGTTTTGTTGAAAATGAGAATGATTTTTGCCAATAAATGGGCTGTATTTCAGTATCTTAGTCAGACAAGTTTAAATGTCTTCAGTGTAAACCAAATGATGTGGTAAGAAAAAAAATTCTCTTGTCTGTTTGATTGGTTTGAATCTGGCTTTCCCTGGCAGTTACTGCAAGCTGTTCCTGCCTGATGGCAATTCAGTGGTTAATGTGAATTAATTTGGACAGTTCTTAGTGGACAGGTGAGCATATAATAAAAAAAACTCCATAACAATTGGCACTAAATGGCACTGTGTCTGGAAGTCTCAACAGAGACCAAAGATTAAATTGTGTTATGCACAGACCTAACCTATTGCACCTTGGGCTCCCTGTAGATCAGGGTTGAAAGACATAGGTATGATAGAATCAAGAAGCTTGCACTGCTGCAGCTCGTACTATATCTGTGGCTAACAGATCCAATTTCCAACACTTTTCATGAACTTTGAAAGTATTGAAATTCTTTTCCAATTACTTATCTGAACACTCTATGCACCTTACTGTATATATGTGTGTAATAAATTATAAAACTAGGAACAAAACAGCTTACAGGTTTTCTCAGTTTGATATCATGTACCCTTTTGAAAAATAGATATACTTTATGAGAGGTTACTAAGAGAATTCAGTTGCTTCCCATGAGATGGCTTTCAAACCACAAAGTTAAATAACCAGAAGCAATGCTTTCCACTGTCACTTCCATTTTCCTTACTGAGGGAGGAGGAACTTTGCATTTACCTATATTCTTTCACTCTGAAAGTTGGAAAGAGAGTCAGCGTACCATTGCAGTGGTTTTTTTTGTTAGTTTAATTTTTTGGGGTGGGGAGGGGTTATTTGTTTTAACTGAAATTTGTTCAAACATAAACTTAAATGATTCATATGATAGTTCAGCAAGCCCTTCAGAAACGTAGTTTGATTGGCTTTACTTATTGTTTAGTGAAAAGTTTCAAAAGTGGATGTACTGAAAGTTACTAGCAATAATTGCCATTCTGGCCTGAGGGATATGCAAGCACAATTTTCAATTTTTGTGAGCAGCTTACTATACCCACATAATTAACTAGTGAATATGTAAGCCAGTGACACTGGGCTTTATTGCTTTTTCTTTCCCCTATAAGAAGAATCGACCATCCTTCAGAGGTAGATTCCAGAGCTAAATTGAATTATGGTGGGAGTTGGCTTTAACAAAATAAGTTGGCTTTAACAAAATAATTTGGCTTTGAATTCTACTTAAAATAATAATTTAATCTCCACTCCCATTATAAAAATACCCATCTGATATTTAAACCATTCCTGCTAGCTTAATTAGATTAGGTTATGTGTTAAAAATATTTTGGAATACAGCAGTACCCATCCCTAACATATGATAGCCATGTTGAACATATACTGTCTACAGTAGGCATGAGGCTTAATGCTCTTTATTGATCTAGACATTGCCTAAGTGAACATAACAGGAAATAAGTTGTCCAACTGTTCCTTCCTATTATTGATTAGAGAGATGTAATACTTAGTACAGCGACAACTGTTGTTTACCATCTGGGTATTCAGTATAATAAGCTTTGCAGGTTCATTCTCTCATGTGATTATACTACCAACCATTGTGATTTATATAATCCTAAATCCTCTCATTGTTAGAGACATTCACGCGTAGGAATTTCCATGAGGTCATATTTCTGTATAATTGTACACAGGGCAATATGCCAGGTTATCTTCTTTCCTGTTTTAATCAACCTGACTATCCCTCTTCTAATTCTTTTGTTTTATAAAATCGTGGAAGTTAGGAGGGAAATGCATAAATGAGCATTTGTTTTCTCAACATCTAATAGCTAGAACAATCATCCTTACAGCATCAGCATTGTTAGCTATTACAACATACATTTATTCAAACATTTGAAAACTTCTTTGTTATTACTGATTAATTGTCAATTTACCACAGTGTATTTGACACCTCTACCTCGATATAATGCAACCTGATATAACACGAATTCGGATACAACGCGGTAAAGCAGTGCTTCGGGGAAGGGGGGGGCAGGGCTGCGCACTCCTGTAGATCAAAGCAAGTTCAATATAACGCGGTTTCACCTATAACGCGTTAAGATTTTTTGGCTCCTGAGGACAGTGTTACATCGAGGTACAGGTGTACCTGTAGAATGGTTGGATCTTACATAGAGAGAGACTGTCTGTTTCCTTGCTTACACTCAAAAAGGTTAACCTGGCATACAACATGTTTTAAATAAAGGCATTTAATTTTATGTAAATATAGACATAATTGTGTCTCACAAATAAATATATGGAGCCAAATAGTGGTTTTACTTTTGTGAGAAGTGCTGGGTAAGTGAGCAAGTGCAGAGTTCTAGTAGACAAGCAGAGGTGCTGTGCACCACTTGCTTTGACCACATGTAAAGAGAATGCATTAGGAAACAGAAGGGGAACAGAGTGTATAACACTCCATACATGGGCTGGTGAAAGGTACTGTGAACTCGCAACAACCCTTGCTGCCAGAGGCTGGCAGACGTGCAAGAAAGATAGAGTCCTTGACTATGCCCCCAAGCCAACTTGTTATGCCCCCTTGTGGAGTGCTGCCTGGAGCTCTAGCCAGCACTTTCTTTTTGTGGACAGTGATCACTAGTGTCCTCATTCCACTTAGATCCTGAGCATGGGTGGAGGAAGATGGAGGGGCAAGTGCAAACTGAGCCCACAGTGTGTCTGGATCTGCTGTGTGTATAGCATAACAGAATATTTATTATGCGCTCTACTAAAGACCTTTACATATGTTGATTCTGAGAACTGGTTTCTCTGTTTGTGTTCTTAGTCTACTAAACTTTTATTGGGGGTGGTGGACATAACCTAATGAGGAGGGCTTTAAACTAGGTTCACCAGGGGAAGGAGACCAAAGCCCTGAGGTAAGTGGGGAAGCATGAGCAGGATAGCGCAAGAGGGGAGAACTCCTGCCTCATACTGAGAAAGCAGGATGATCAGCGAATTATCTTAAGTGCCTATACACAAATGCAAGAAGCCTGGGAAACAAGCAGGGGGAACTGGAAGTCCTGGCACCGTCAAGGAATTATGATGTGATTGGAATAACAGAGACCAGGTGGGATAAATCACATGACTGGAGTACTGTCATGGATGGATATAAACTGTTCAGGAAGGACGGGCAGGGCAGAAAAGGTGGAGAAGTTGCATTGTATGTAAGAGAGCAGTATGACTTCTCAGAGCTCCAGTATGAAACTGCAGGAAAACCGGAGAGTCTCTGGATTAAGTTTAGAAGTGTGAGCAACGAGGGTGATATCGTGGTGGGAGTCTGCTATAGACCACCAGACCAGGGGGATGAGATGGATGAGGCTTTCTTCCAGCAACTAACAGAAGTTACTAGATTGCAGGCCTTGGTTCTCATGGGGGGACTTCAATCACCCCGATATCTGCTGGGAGAGCAATACAGCGGTGCACAGACAATCCAGGAAGTTTTTGGAAAGTGTAGGGGACAATTTCCTGGTGCAAGTGCTGGAGGAACCAACTAGGGGCAGAGCTCTTCTTGACCTGCTGCTCACAAACAGGGAAGAATTAGTAGGGAAAGCAAAAGTGGATGGAAACCTGGGAGGCAGTGACCATGAGATGGTCAAGTTCAGGATCCTGACACAAGAAAGAAAGGAGAGCAGCAGAATACGGACCCTGGACTTCAGAAAAGCAGACTTTGACTCCCTCAGGGAACTGATGGGCAGGATCCCCTGGGAGAATAATATGAGGGGGAAAGGAATCCAGGAGAGCTGGCTGTATTTTAAAGAATCCTTATTGAGGTTGCAGGAACAAACCATCCCAATGTGTAGAAAGAATAGTAAATATGGCAGGCGACCAGCTTGGCTTAACAGTGAAATCCTTGCTGATCTTAAACACAAATAAGAAGCTTACAAGAAGTGGAAGATTGGACAAATGACCAGGGAGGAGTATAAAAATATTGCTCAGGCATGCAGGAGTGAAATCAGGAAGGCCAAATCACACTTGGAGTTGCAGTTAGCAAGAGATGTTAAGAGTAACAAGAAGTGTTTCTTCAGGTATGTTAGCAACAAGGAAAGTGTGGGCCCCTTACTGAATGAGGGAGGCAACCTAGTGACTGAGGATGTGGAAAAAGCTAATGTACTCAATGCTTTTTGCCTGCCTTCACGAACATGGTCAGCTCCCAGACTACTGTACTGGGCAGCACAGCATGGGGAGGAGGTGACCAGCCCTCTGTGGAGAAAGAAGTGGTTCGGGACTATTTAGAAAAGCTGGACGAGCACAAGTCCATGGGGGCTAAAGGAGTTGGCGGATGTGAACACAGAGCCATTGGCCATTATCTTTGAAAACTCATGGCGCTCGGGGGGAGGTCCCGGATGACTGGAAAAAGGCTAATGTAGTGCCCATCTTTAAAAAAGGGAAGAAGGAGGATCCGGGGAACTACAGGCCAGTCAGCATCATCTCAGTCCCTGGAAAAATCATGGAGCAGGTCCTCAAGGAATCAATTTTGACTCACTTAGAGGAGAGGAAAGTGATCAGGAACAGTCAGCATGGATTCACCAAGGGCAAGTCATGCCTGACTAACCTAATTGCCTTCTATAACAAGATAACTGGCTCTGTGGATGAGGGGAAAGCAGTGGATGTGTTATTCCTTGACTTTAGCAAAGCTTTTGATACGGTCTCCCACAGTATTCTTGCCGGCAAGTTAAAGAAGTATGGGCTAGATGAATGGACTATAAGGTGGATAGAAAGCTGGCTAGATGGTCGGGCTCAACAGGTAGTGATCAATGGCTCCATGTCTAGTTGGCAGCTGGTATCAAGCGGAGTGCCCCAAGGGTCAGTCCTGGGGCCGATTTTGTTCAATATCTTCATTAATGATCTGGAGGATGGCGTGGACTGTACCCTCAGCAAGTTTGCAGATGACACTAAACTGGGAGGAGGGGTAGATACGCTGTAGGGTAGGGATAGGTTACAGAGGGACCTAGATAAATTAGAGGTTTGGGCCAAAAGAAACCTGATGAGGTTCAACAAGGACAAGTGCAGAGTCCTGCACTTAGGATGGAAGAATCCTATGCACTGCTACAAACTAGGGACCAAGTGAATAGACAGCGGTTCTGCAGAAAAGGACCTAGGGGTTACAGTAGACAAGAACCTGGATAAGAGTTGACAGTGTGCCCTTGTTGCCAAGAAGACTAATGACATTTTGGCTGTATAAGTAGGGGCATTGCCAGCAAATCGAGGAACGTGATCATTCCCCTCTATTCAACATTTGTGAGGACATCTGTGAGGGCTCATCTGAAGTACTGTGTCCAGTTTTGGGCCCCACACAACAAGAAGGATGTGGAAAAATTGGAAAGAGAGGAGGACAACAAAAATGATTAGGGGGCTGGAGCACATGACTTATCAGGAGAGGCTGAGGGAACTGGGATTGTTTAGTCTGCAGAAGAGAAGAATGAGGGGGAT